GTCAATGTTGTGAGTTCTTCAGAGAGATCTGTGGCGGATATTAAAAAAATGGTCCAATCGGGACTCGATCCCCAGACTCATGGGCGAAAGTCACGCACGCAAACCAGTCACCCAAACGGAAATCTCCCCTGTTCAACTAGCCAGGGTGCATGATCAATTGGGTCACAGTGACAGGACACACACACTGTCACAGACGCATGACATTCTGCCTCAATCTGTCCCCCTGCTGATATTCTGCATTCCGTATTCTGCGCTTCAGGCTGAGTGTGTGTGCGTGTGTGTGTGCGCGCGTGTGTGTGTGCGTGTGGGGGGTCTTGTTCTGTGTGAAAACAAAGCAGTACAAGTGATAAAGCTGCAGGATTTCATAATTTTATCCTTCTCAGCAGCAGCACTGCAGGTGCTCTTCATGTCCAAAATGTGCGTAAGCCAGGTCCTTAGTCAACTTAAAGTTGCGCACATTTTCCCGCTAAGTTTTCTTTCATAAATCCCAAAGTTTGCACTGAAAGTTGCTTACGCAGTTTTCCGACCCGTTTTGTGCATAAACAAGCTTGATAAATGAGGCCCCAGGGCATTTTGATTCCTGCTCACTTTCGCGGTCACTTTCATTTCACCTTTTTCTTAGAAGGACACTTCTAATCAAAGAAACATTTTGTGGGTGTTTGTAGGAATCATGTTTCTAGTTTTAAATCAAAATGGGGGTATCATCAAAAACATCAAACATGCAGCACATTAGCTTCATGCTGCACAAAGTAAAGTGCTCCGAAGGCAGTGCATCTGTGGGCTCATTCTGATGCCTCTGCACCGTGCGTGCCACAATTTTCTTTTGATTGCAAAGAGCAACTCCCTTCAGTAAGAGCCTCGCGTCCTGTGATAGCACTCATCTGAGAGAGGTCCACACCAATTAGCTAGTGTTCCTCTCAAGAGGCAGTGAAGTCACTCTTTATGGGAAATCTGACACCAAAGGCATGCGGTTACCGTATGGTGAATATTACCTCTTGTATATAATGGGAGAGTTTGAGACTGAACACTTGAAAAATGTCTGTGACCAGTGTGTAAATTAAAACACAGCTAAAGGGGGAATGAACATTCATCCTGCAGAGAGATGATCAATCGGAGCAGTGGAGATGAAGCGGAATTAGTTTCATCACTTCATAGCCCCCTTGAGTCATTCCTGAGAGGAAGATGACAAAAATATTAAAGTGTAATCATGTGATGAGAAGTCTGCATTGTCTGTTTGTCCTTGATTTTATTGCTTGCAGTATCCACTCCACTTTTTCTTTATTCTCTTAAATTGCACAGTCGGAGCTTTAAAAATCCCTCATCCTGTCTAGACAGAGACCAGGAAAAAAATCATCATAAGCTACCTAATTCCTACAATTAAGGGAAGTGGAATGACAACTTGCATCAAATCAAGCTGTTTTAATCGGTTTTGTTGATGAACAAGTTTAATCCTGCCAGTAAACTAATAAACAATACCATGCAGTTAACAGGAAGTTATCGCCAGCTCACATTTCAAGAATCAATTTTCAAGATATAGCATCATAAGCAAATACCCTGTCATCTTCCTAATGTTACACCCTTGTGGGAAAATAAAGTTTCAATACATATAAATGTGTGTGTGTGTGTGTGTGTGTGTGTGTGTGTGTGTGTGTGCGCGCGCGCTTGCTTTTCTCTGTGTGTGTATGTGTGTCGACTCAATAACGATGTATCTGAGGAGGAGAACTAATCTACAGTTGGTGTTTTACCTCTTTACCTGCAGCCAGCACTGATAATTAATGACAGAGAAACAAATCCAAGACATGAATTTTACATCAGGCTGTTTATATGCACTTGTGCTGTTGTGAATGGGACTCGGGAGGTAAAGAGCCACAAGACGATTCCCGTACACGGTCTAATTTGATGCTAAAGAATCTGCCGTTATCCCAGAAGAATGAAAAATAAAACAGGAGATGTTGTGGAGAAATTGTTGGCAGGGCTTGACATCTTTATTGACATTTGTTCTTTAGAGCCCGATAGACGAGAAAAGCTCTGCCCGACATATCTCGTGTCTGTGCGGGGTAATTTATGAGGCCTGAAACTGAATACGGTGGAGCAGCAGGCGTAGCACAGTCACAACTGAGACTGTCTGAGTCAGGAGGAGGGGACGGCAAAGCAGCTTGCAAAACAGAGCCGTGCACGCAGACAGGAAGATATATGTGGAGACAGAAATATACTCAAGAGCAAAAGCACTCCAAAACTCTCCTGTCATGTGCACCTATGAGGTCCACTCAAGCAGCTTCCTGACACAAACCTGCAAGCAGAACAATTAGAGCTCTTCCAAATCCCCTGACACGTTGCTTCCGACTCTATTTCTGTTGCCAAACATGCTTCAGAAGGTGGAACACAGGCTTAGTGCACGATACATCTATAAATGTTCTGTCTTGAAGGCTCACCTGGAGGCATTACACAAGGCAAAGCAAGGGGTGGTGAGATGCGAAGCTGGGTTTAGACAAAATGGTGAAAAAAAAAGCAAACGGGGAACTCATTTGTGATTTGCATCATGTAAAATATAATCTGTACTTGTTATTAATCCAACGCAGAGCCAGTTTGCTACTCGGTGTGATCTGCCTTTTTGGACAAAGCTTTCAATCTTGCCTTGTAAGATCTCAAATCACTGAAACCTCAAAGACAAATTCATTTTCCCTTTTCTTTTCTTGTTAAGTTGAAATGTTCCCCGCAATTACTGGCTAAGAAATCCGTTAATGTCTCGGCACATCACAGAGGGTGCATTATCGATGTCTCTCCAAGTTTGGTAACTAAAGACTCTCCTTATTGGCATGCACTCCTCTTAGGCAGACGTCTAAGGAGGCCAACGCTCTCTCGGTATCGCTTTGTGTTCACAATGCATTAGCGGGTCACAGACATGTTTTCTAAATCTGTGTGAACTGTTTAGAACAATAAGCAGAAAGATCAATACAAGGGACGACATGAGCAAAGCACTTCAACCGGGGCTAGCGTTGCATACACTCTGCAGGAAAAAGGAAAAGACAAGTTGTTAAGATCAATTATTTCCTGCTTTGATCACTTTGCCAAAACTCTCCTGATATGAACCCATAATCCCTCCGTCGTTTCAGCGCCTCTCTAGGCTGTGAGCATCACAGCTGCCAAGGGTGATCCTTCTGACAGGAAAGGACATGGATTGTTGTTACACAGGTTCTAAAAAAAGAGCGAGGATGCTCTGGATTTGGTGTTCGAGGTAACGTCGCTCTGTGGTCGATGAATCTTAATGGGCACAATTAATTGGATTTACGCCTCAAGAGTCCCTCCATTTCAGAGGGTGAGACGTTATCTCTGTGCAATTACACAACCCTGCAGGATGAGTTGTTTAATTCAGTGACATGTTATGGCGAGCAATAAATCCCAACAGCTGCACAGTAAAGAAGTTAAAGGTGTGGATGTGTAAAGGAAAGAAAAACAGCTAATAAACAAGAACCAATTATTTTCAAGCGCTCTTCTCTGTGGCTGCTGGTCTTCTTCAGATGAAGGAATATGTTCTCATAAAGCACAGGCAATGATCCGCTACGGTGGGTTCTGCTGCAGGGATCCGAATGGATTCCAGTGACAGAAAAACAGCAGGAAACCAGCACTTAAGAGTAATGAGTGAAATCAGCGACTAGGTTCTGTTACCGCAGCAAGTGACAACACCAAGCCCATGTGGCGTTTAGGTGTACCCAGGCATTACAGTAGCTGAGAGAGCACATTAAACCCTTCACTGGAAACGCGTTGCGATGGCTACTACCCATCCTCTCCCAACGACTCTTCAGAGATGAGGAGGCTAATTATGATAATTGACTTGTTAATTACATTTACATAAATCAGGACGCGAGCAGTTGAGCTAGCATATTGCACGCTTGGTAAACTCATCAAAGTTGGAGTTTTTTTCACGTTGTCCCTAACATAGTTTTAATTGAGGTTTGGGAGATTCCGGGGGAACAGCGGGAAAGCAAACAGACATGTTGACAAGGGGCCAAAGTTCAGGAGCACACAGCCTCCATTGAAACATCAACTCCCCTCCCCCAGTCACAGAATCAGATTTCACCCCCTTGGCAATGCCTCCCAAGCATCCAGAAGTTAAAAATCATAACCTAATACGATCCAGAGCTCGGAGGTGGGGGTGGTGAGGTGGAAGGGACCTGATACTCTAACGTATCATTGAGCCGGGTCAACATTCTTGTTACCCCACTTCATTCAGGAGACTGCATGGCATAAATTGGCTGCTGTCAACTAATTAAACCCATTATCAACTTGATGTAATGTTCCTGTCTGTTGACACATATGTCGCCTCTCAGCACTTCACAGATTAATTTAAGCCCGTTACCCGCCTGACAGGATTCCTCTACTGTAATAGATCTCTCTTTCCGAGCATATTTCTACACATATGCACCATGCGGTTCCATATCTCACACGCGTTTCAACCTTTGAAAAATATTAGCCAACAATAGGTTGACGATTATCACCTCATCTGCTAGGGGAAAAAATGGCTTCAGCAAAGTTGAAGAGGTAACCATGGCAACGCAACTTGAAAAACCTGAGGCAGGGAGGAGAGGATAACCTCTGTCACACTGTGCACAATTCTTTCCTGACGTGTTCTCAGCATGAGAGGGAAGTTCAGGAGGGCATTGTAGATAATGGTTCTGGATAAGGTCTGAGATTGAAGAATTTGATGGGGTCCGAGCATCGGCTGGATCGAGTGCTTCATCCTGCCTGGTGGTAATAAAGAGCCAGGTTTTTGTAGAGGCGCAACCCCGCTGAGAGTTATTCCTCATTCCAAGGTGAATCTGTAATTTCTGTCTGCAAATGAGGCCTTTCCCCAAGAATAACGCAACCCTCTTTTCTTCATCACACTTGAAATGCATCCAAAATTAAAAGGCAGCCATCTGTGACATCCCATGCTGCAGCCAAACAATAAGGAATTATACAAAGACAATGGATTACACGGGGAGAAATGCAGCAGTGCTCACCTTCTGCAGGATCAGGTGGCCCAAAGTCCAGGTCATAACGCAGGATGTAAAAGTTATTCCACACATACAGCTGGTTGTCTCTGGGGTTGTAATCCACAGCGGTGATGTACTGGTACTGGTTTGGGAAGAGGAGGTCGGTGTACTCGCCCTGGTTCAGCTTGGTGTTGTAGATGTAGTCGATCTGGCTACGGCTGGCCTCGCTCTCGTTCTCCTCGTAGGTTGAGCGGACAACTTGCAGCACACCGCACACCATGAAGGCGTTGGAGGCTGATCGCTTGTCGTACGCCGTTTCCCAGGTGCCTTCAAACCGGAGAGTGTACGGATTGAGCTGGCTCACCACTATGCGTCCATTGTTCTGCTCCGTGGCGTAGATTACCCACAATCCCCTCTCATCGACTGAAAGGTCGATGTCTGTTTTGCCACCCCAGCGGTAAGGCGAAGTGTCGTGGTAGTTGGCATTGTTCACGATGGCCTCGCCGCTTTTGATGCGCGTACGAAGGTCAAACTTCACAATGTTGCGTGTGCGTTCCTTGTTGAAGAAGATGGCACCATCATATGCAACAAAGCCTGTCCCATCCACACGGTGGGGCAGTTTATAGGTGGTCGTCTGTCGACCGCTTTTGAAATCCTCCAGGGAGGCGTACTCGATGAGGGTGTCAGTGCGGTACGGCGTCCAGGGCATGAAGAAGACTTTGTCTCCAGCCTGCAGCGGGTCTTTGCACCATGACCCTGCTTGCTGCTCAGCCTCAAACAGGAAGGTGGCATCTCCCACTCCTTTCAGAGTCCCCGGACAAATGAATACTAGTGACAGAGAAGAGAGTGGAAGAAAATACAACAAGGCAAAATGTTAACAAGTCACATTACACATTTGACAGGCACAATTCTCGCCGCTGTGCAACTCGAGTACAGGACAAAAAGATCAGGGAGTGTGAATTTGGAGGAAGTGTTTGACTAGAGCTTTTGTTCTAATGAGTAAGAGAAAAAATGAAAACAAATGTATGTGTCAAAAAAGATTACTCAGAATGAAAAATGTGAGGTTAATAGAACTTGCATCTCAGGGGGCTGCTGCTACATCGTACCAGGGACGAAACAAACAATAAGTAGTGAACAAAAAAAGAATTATAAAAACCCTGCAAATGAAAGTCACGGGAAATGAAGTGAACAGAGTTCACAGTGTTTTTGTTTAGTTTTGGAGTTTATCAAATACCAGCTTGTCTCTTAAGTCAAAAGCCATACGAACAGCTGGGTACATGGACACACGGCACATGCATTCTCACATGACTGAGGTCGTAAAATGAGTCAAGGGAACAGACTTCACATCTTGTGATAAGAGTGAACAACAGGTTGTCAATGGTGGTGGAGGCAGCAAAGCAGAGGTAACATGAAAGTGGTGGTTGGGGAATAAATAGAACAACAGTGGTAAAGGAGTTTAACTACTTCTGTGGTGAAAGACAAGAGGAACCACTGATGGGTGAGGGAGGCCACGGCAAGGTTCCAATACAAATGATTTTGTTCTGGATACTAAGGAAAAAAGAAAAAAACAGTAATTTTTTATTTTATTTCTAAAACATTTTCTTTCTTTTTTTTTTGAGCCGGTGCCAAACTCACTCAGCCATCACTGCTATTTCACATCACGTGCTATGGGTGCAGCAGAAGTTGGGCCAAGCAAACTGGAGACTGAGCCAGATTGGGAATAAACACACAGCTAGTCATTCCTCAAGGGTTACATCACTACAAGAGGGTCCCAGGTATGAATCAACGCTGAACAGTTGGTGCTTTCTTTCATATTGCATAGAAAAAAACTTTGTTTGGAGGCCACGGTTGTCGTTCGAAATTTTGTTCTGCAAAATGTTTGGATTCTGTGGGTGCAGACCATCCTCGTATCGGGTTTACAATGTGACAGGAAAGTAATCGGAAAGGGGTGGGGGGGTGAAGGGAGCTGTACTCAACACCACAGAACAAGGAGCCGAAGGAGGGAGGGGGGGGGTGGACCAGACCAGTCATTTACCTTTTTGCTCCACTTCTATTTCAGGCATTGGAAAAGAAAGCAAAAAAAGAGTGCAAAAAGGGAGAGAAAGGTTACCATGAGTTAAGGTAGTAGATACAGAGAAAGAGAGTTAGTTGGAAGGTATGACCATGAAATGAGCTGCAGGGCTGGTGGAGGTGGAAACGCTAGAAGGAGCATAAAAAACGGGATTGTTAGTCAAACGGCCGCTCATCCTGGGATTTAAAAACAGACAAGTTATGACTAGATATGCGCCGTGCTCCCTGTGACTTTTCATTGAACAGTTCAGTCTGATCACCTTTATCTGCTAACAAAATAGCACCGTGAAAGCAGAACAAATCCCTCAAAGAATGTTTCTCCTGAGTGGCAGGAGGGGAAACCCAGTCATATTTAGATGGATAACAGTCTTAGAGAAAACAGGACAGGGATTATTTCAGGCATGTCTTGGCTGAAGGTGGAGCTTGTTCAAATGGTTTAAACACAAATCAAAAACTCAATTCCAATTTGACAAGATCGCCCACACACGTAAACTATGACTCGGCACTAATGTTACAGACCCGAGCCAACGAGAGCAGCAGCACATGAGATGACTGATGGATAGTCAGCCTAATATGGAGTTTCTTTACTGGACTGCTGCAGTGAGAGAAGGGGAGAGACTGGATACGGTACGTGAAAGAGATTTAAAGATGGAATAAGAAAAATGAGAACAAAGAGTTAGTCGGGAGGAACGGAACGGGAGGTGAAAGGGAGGTCTGTCCAAAAGAAAAAGAAAAGAAGATTTTATTCGTGAAAACGTTTACAGTTCATCAACTTATACGCTCACAGGGCCTGAACCGCATTTAGAAACTACGATAAAACCCTCTTTTAAGGTAGATTAACTTTAAAATAGTGCTGGATTTAACCAACTCTGTGCTACATTTAATTAAACGACTTGAAGACTAAAGAAGATTTATGACTAAGTGCAGGAATTTGGTTTAGTCTGGAGACAGATGCTGAATTATCTTACAATTTGAAGGGTATTTGCTCAGTCTTACACAGCAAATGTTCACTTTTGCATTTCCACAAAATGAAGTGAAGGCCCTGCATTAATAAAACCATTCAGTTCGGTTATATTACTAGAAGCACAATCTAGTCATGCAGATTGTTTTTGTTGTAGAACAATCTACCTCTGAGATTTCTGTTATGTGAGAAAAATAATTTCTGAAAGGAAAATATAAAATAGCAGCTCCAACACAAAATGACAACAGAAAGGCCTGGTGATTATCCACAGGAGACAGAAAATCTACCTTTTAAAGTTTTATTTTGGTTTAGCCACCGAGAAACTCCTTTTACATGATACAAATGTCTAAAAGCAGAAGGACATGCATTGGAGATGAAGCAGGAGCCTCAAACTGGGGCGAGACACATTAACAGCCATTTATCACATCCAAATCCCAAATGAAATCCTTCAGAAGAAATTAAATCATCTGGAAACCATTCTTTTATCTGGCTGTGCTGTTATTTACTGATTCAAATTCAAATTATATACGTAAAATGTTTTATTTATGTGAAAACACCCTAACCGACTAAGTGTATGCATGTATTATGTAATGGGCATACAGAGAAAAAAAAATGAACATTTCCATAATTAAAGCTTACAGATATGAGCTTTAGTGTGCAGCTCTTTAGATTGGCAGCAGCCAAAACTTTCATCTCACTGGTGGAGATTTATAATCAATTAGCTGAAGCTAATCTAGCAATGGCGCGTGGCATCTTGGTAGCTGCACTTTTATATAACTGTCAAGTGGATTTAATGTGAGCTCACATGGGCAACTGATAAATAGGGCAGTTGTTGCTAACATGAAAAAAGGGGACAAAAGAAACAAAAACAAAGTTGAGTTCCTCTGGTGAAGCAGAGGAGGTTTTCAAGAATGTTCTTCAGTTTGGCACTTTCTGATTGTTCTTTCATGTCAGAAAGTGTTATTTTTTTTCTCAAGAAGTGGAAACAGTTGGTCATTCAGACTTCAGCTAATTAAATAACTTTTGTGCTAGTGGATTCAGTCCAAATAAAAAAATATCGAGTGACGTGCTGAACTATTGTTAAATGAAAACATTAAACTTACTGAAATTTACAGCCATTTTCCCCCCTCAAATATGATCCTGATCAAGAAAAACAAACACTATGTGCTTCTAAATAAGATTAAAGCCATAAATCCCTCTGGGATTAATAAAGTATCTTTGAATTTGAATTTGAATTGAACTCTTACCTGAGGTTAAACTTGAGAAAATAAGTTTTTCTTACAACTAATTTTTTTTAAATGTTAAATTAAAACCTTTTTAATTTGTAGTCGAATGCCTCAGTTTCTCTTGACTGTAGTTAGACTTGACAGCTGTCAAGTTTTAAAGCGGTTTTAAAAATTCTCATTAAGCACTGACTGAAAATGGGAAGACGTGATGTTGTCTAAATTAAATATAGAAAAGGTAAGTAGCATAGGTAGCTCCTCTCTAGCCTGCAGGATCTGCATCAATGACACTATTTGAAAACAAAAGTCTCAAATATCACACCAAGAAAATAAAGTCATTAGCCGATCTGCATGACTAGAGTCCATCAAAACTAATTAAAGAAAAATGCTTCACCTATAACGGAGTTGAACTGAACCTTGAAAGGACAAAAAATAAATAAAACCTCCACGTTGCAAAGGTAACTCCCTGTTAATAATAATGCAGTCTCATTCCAAACCCGCGAGTTGAAGTGTCATCTGCAGCAGCTAAAAAACTTTTCTAAAGTAAGAGAGAGGCCGCAGACACGGGACACTTTGAAATCACACAACAAGATTTCAGTATGAGATTTGGATGGCGATACTTACTATAAGGAACACACTCATACTGGACCTCTAAGTACTTGTAGGTGCCAGGGCATGGATCAGGAAAGACATCAGAGCCAGTGACAACCACACACTGCGTACGGTTGTTGCACCTAGGGGAAAAAAAAGATTGACCAGAGATTTCATCATGACTTCCCACAGCAAGAGCACTCGGCAGAGACAACATTAATGACTCAAAGGAGGGGAACGTTCACTGCTATAGCCACACTGACATTGATGAAATCCCAGGCAGGACTGTCACTTACACATTCTAGTTTAAACCTTGGCATACGGGGGAGAGGAATGAAAGCATTAAGGGCGAGTAAATGAGGGTGATGGGATGAATGACAGAGTCAGAGCAGCTAACAGCTTGTTAGGAATTACTGTCTTCAGGTCGCTATTGAAAGAGAGGACAGTCATTAAAATACACACAACAGGTGGCTGTGACATGCAGTGGACTGGAATGGGTGGCCTCAAGTATAACAGAGCAGCTCCTCTGCATGTACAGTATGCCCAAACGAGACATGAATGTGTCAAGCCTGTCAAAGGTTTTTTGCCTTCTAGTGTGATATGTTGTCCCTTAGTGCATTAACAATATGGCGTGTGGACTGCAGAGACAGCATGTGTCTGTGTATGGCTTGGCACATGTTTTCTGGGCGCTAAAAAAAAAAAGTCCAGGTAAAGAGGTAGAGGAAGGAGGAGGGAACAAAACAAAATCAAACCAAAAAACAACAGAATAAGACTGAGTTTGTGTAAATACTGTATAGGGTGAAATTGGCTCCACTTCAATCAAGCTCTCTTCAGGCAGAGGGATTGAGAATGATGTCAGCAAGAGAAGCAAACAAGAAAAAAAAATGAAATAAACTGGCATCGAAAAAGAAAAATGTTCAACAGTGTGCAAGCGTGAGATAAATACTGCAGAAGGTCAGAAGCAGAGATGCAAGCTAGACATACATTTTTGAACAATTCAAAAGATTCAGGACAAGTTGTCACTGCAAAAATACAAAGCTGCACAAGAAAAAGAAAAATACCAACAAACAAAAAAAAGATGCAGGATGCTGAGGAAATATTTAAAAGAGTCAGTATAAATACATTAATCATGACTTTGCAGTCTGTCTGCATTGGCTCAGCAGCACCCTCCTCTCAAAACGAATGGATTATCAGGCATTAAAAGTTGATAAAAAATATGCAAAGTCCACAATGGACTTCAAGAAAGAGCATCAGCATCATCAGCTATGGTTTAAACTTCAATCACAATACGAAGCAAGCTGCACTTAGCTGATCTACTTTTGTGGCTCCAGCATGGTAAATGCACAAGAGAGCTGCCTGCGAGGAAAACGGGTCGCTGGATCTAAATGTGACCCGGCTGATGGCAGGCAAAACCAACCGAGTCACCTCAAATGCACTCAGATAACTCCACGTCGCTCAGCATTGAGAGATTATCACATCTGGCTGTCAACTTCCAGTGATGGGCCGTGTTATTACTATATATGTAGACTCATCTTTTTACCTCATCATGGGATTATCACGTAGAGATAACTGTTGAACATTTAAGCCAGTTGATTCAAATCGTTTTACTGTTAGGAATAAAACTCCAGCCTGGACATCTAGACCAACCGTAGCAGGTCAGTCTAGCCACGCTCCATTGTAGCCTTTGCAGGTCTACCATTGACCTATGACACTAGAGCTGCAACGAAGAAACATTACAAAAGATGGCATCGGCGCAGGAAGGGCACTCGTTTGAAAAACACAAGATAATTTAGACTTGGGCTTTTTTTTGAGACATGAACAGAGGTAATTAAAGAGACTATGTGTACTTTTTACCGTTAATCTCTGGAAATAGCCATTAAAACGTTGTTGAAAAATATTAGCGGCTTTGCACCATATAATTATAAAAATTGGGTCTAAAGTGCATAGCGTCTTTGAGGGATGCCATATTAGACGCCACGTTTTCTTTTGTCCGACTCGAGGTTTGTGCGCTTGTCGGCCATTGGCAGGACGTACAACTTACGGATGTTACGTTACCTCGTTCAAAAACATTTAGACAGTAAGAAACATGTATTTAATAACAAAACTGCTAAACTATTTCTAAAACATATGCGAAAGAAAAAAATCCCAAAAGAGAGCGTTATTTCCGTAGTATGATGACATCACCGGCAGACACAGGACCCCGAGCAGATCTGGAAACTGCAGCGCCAGAAAACTACAATTGGCAACTACAATCGATGGAATTAACTGAAGGAGGAGGAGCCACGCTGTGGTTGCATTTGTTCTGCTCCACAGGTAACAACATTTACCGTAATGTTTTTGTAACTAGCAACAGTCAGGACGACATGGGGTAAAACTACCCTTAAAAACGTATGCATGTACTGCCCCTAAGTGCTACACTACTTCCACTAATAACTACACACTTCCACTAATTTATTCAAAAATATGTTCCTGTTTCTTCTTCTTCAACGGTGAATGGTCGGCTGCCCTATTGACAGACTTCCATTGTTCTTTGTTCCATTTGGTCTTGGCGTTGCCCAATAGCGTGCAGAGATGGTTTGTAAGAAAACCGTAGATTCCGTCCCTAAACTGGGTTGTTTCAATGACCAGACTATATATTTACATATATAGGATGGTTTGCCAGGCTAATAAAATGCAGGATTTTAAATGAAACTATATCCTCAACTAGATCGGTAATTCTCATTTAATAAAGACCCCCGCTTTGGTCACTTTTCATCATAAATTGTTGCCGTTGATGCCTTACAAGCACATAATGCAGCTGGAGTCCTTCTGTTATTATTCTACAGGACTAAAGGAAACATTAGAGCTACCTGATCATTATTTTTTCCACTTCTGGTCTCTACGAACTCCAAAGGGAATCTTATTTGGCCACTCTCAGCTCTCTGTCGAACTGCTGTGCAGCTAAGTTGATGAGAGCAATGAGACCAAACCAAAACATTATTTTTGCAGGCCAGAAAACCAGCAGAATGATTAAAACTATGAAGAGGGGGCATGATTCTCTGTGGGTTAACCACTTGGAAAGAAAACCTATCAAACTGTATCATTTGATCTTTTGCAAGTACATGATATCGATTTGTGTACGGTACCTTGAAGTAAAGATCAAAATATCATTTCCACCTCTGTTAATTCCATTTAGGCTGTAAGAACCTACTCTGGAATTTTATTATTGCTATGATTTTGATATGTTTTTGCATTTTGCATTCAGCAACTAATCAATGCGTATAATCCGTCCTGCACAACCTCGTACAGTTTAAAGATCCGCACCATTCTGCTGGTTTTTAAAGGTCAAAGAAGACATTGACATTTGAATGAAGTAATGAAAGGCAGAAAATACAAATAATATAGATCATCATGTTTTACAATAGTTTCTTTTACTTCCTGAACTAGTTGACAAGGCAGTTTGTTTGGAATGATCGCCTGAATACCAAAAACCCGCCAACCTGAGGTTCTATCCAGTCATCTTTGATTCAGCCATCTTTTTTTGTGTGTTTCTTTTTGTCAACAACCAAGCACTTTTTTCCTTGACAAAACACTTTGGTCTAACGGCAGTAAAAAAAAATAATCAAGCCATTTGATTCCTGTCTTGTTGTTTTTGTTGCAAAGAGAACGGACCTCTGATGAATGCTTTCTGTCGCAATTTCCAAACCAACAAAACTGGCACTCTGTGAAGCAGACTTCCAACTGTTTCCCTCTAATATGTTTGTTTATTCGTCTGTAGGACTGTTGCCTTTTGTTAATCTTGACAGTATTGACTGGCCGTTGTGACGGAGTTTAAATACTCTCATTCTACTTTGCTGCACACCAATACAGCACTGATTAGGGTCTCCGAAGGATCTGCAGCTGCTTTAGCATGCCCATTTATCACATCGCCTTTAATTACAGCGCCCATTTCCTCTGATCTGAATCTTTACAATAATTCTGGTCAGGGGTGCACGTGGTGCGGACTCTTAGCAAAGCCTTTGCTTGCATTCTGCCTCCTGGGAGTCTTCGATGAAGATAAGTTTGAACTGAAGCTGCGGTGAGCGCGTCGTTCACTTGTCAACAAGTGTGTAGCAGTTGGCAGCTAAACCAAGGGGCATGGACACCGTCAGCGGTGAGTTCCTGTACGACTGTGTTACAAATGTGGTATAAATTTAGAAAGTCAGCAGCACTTGATGTATTCATTAAATCCTTCAGTAGAGCTGCATCTCCGGGGAGTAAATACAGAAGAGAATGAAGCAGAGAAAATCCTAGAGGTCTGTCATGGTGGGCGATGATGCTCAAAAGCCAACTTTGAAGAGGAGTGTGTGTGTGTGTGTGGGGGGGGGGGGGGGGGGGGGGGGCAACGGCGCATTAGACAGTGAGCTGCGCTGGTTCCTATTTATGAATTGCTCATCCAGTGCCCTTTAAAAACACACACACCTCCAGGGGTGAGCAGCGGTCGAGCTGAAGTGTTCCTGCGCCGCCATTTGACGAAGAGACGGCATCCTGCAAGAGGAGAGCCGGGACAAAAGACACGACGATGGGCGCCACTCGCTACCTGAGGCAAAGCCACTTCAATGCACTACAAGTGTTCAAACAAAGCAAGCGAAGTGTAACAGATAGGGAATTAGAAGCATGTTCATGGGACTGGCGGTCTCTCTGAGCTACGCCGATTACGAGTCAAACTGAAGCAACAACATGCAGCTGGTGTGAAGAGCTCTGTCGCACGGAGGTCACTTCCTGCCTGTCAGGAATTAATCTTTTCTTCCCTTCAGATTTAAATGTCATCGACATAATTCATTAAACGATGGAAAAACTAACATCTGAAAGGTGTGAGATGATGGCATTTTGCTTGAACACATTAAGCCGTCAGTGCACATTAAACTATAGTTCAGTGGGTCACGTAGCGTTCTGCATATAAAGGATGTCGTCTTCCTCAAGTCGATGCAGTCCAGGTTTTTATTTACATAATTAGTAACATCTGCATGTTTGCATTGTTAGTTGATAATGCCTTTAAAAAGAAGAACATTTGGAGATTTTGTTGTACCTCGGTGCATCATTTCACACAAAATATGAGAAAACATAATGTGCAATGAAAATTAGAGCATCAGTCAGAGCGTATGTCTATATTAAAATGATAAATGTTTAACTGAGAAGGACTTTGCAAACAGCTCTTTTGTGTGCAGCAGTAATATTCCAGAGAAAACAGGAGGGTCACGGTTTCCCTCCCGAGCTCCTGGGTGTGTTTGTGAAATAAGATTCCTCCTTTTCCCAGCGCTTTACCTTTGTGATATAATCTTGTAGGCATCGGGGAGGTAGCAGTTGACATTCTCCATCTGGAACGGGTCAGCGTCACAGATCTTGTCGTCGGTCCGGCCGTAGTTGGCCGTCTCGATCATAATGACATCACTCCCCGGGCAGCGGAGATCAATTGCATATCCTTCGCATGAGAGCTCTCTCCTGACCAGCCCGAAAGGCAAGGCCGCACGGCTGAACCCTGACACGCACAAGAGGAGAGAGAGGGAGAGACACACGCAGACAGAGAAAGAACATAACAAAATTATTAGGTTAGAAGACTCAAAAAAGTGCTTCAAAAAAATGAGGCCGCACATCATGCAATAAGAATCTGCTGGCACAAGCCAAACGGGCAACAGCAGTCCAATGTTTACCGCAGTTTTAAACAGACAGGCGATCCAGGAACGGGGAAAGACGAAACAATTCATTTCTTCATCTCTCTGTGGTCGGGGGCTGTCAAATTTTTGACTCATTGGAGATCAGTGGTAATCTAATAAATTCCTGAGCAAACACAAAGGCTGCAGTGCTCTGGGATGTTCTCCACCAACAGAGAGCATCCACTGCTAGGACCAAAATCTATTTGGACTACAGAGCAGTTTGTTTGGCAGCCATATGAGCCCCCTAAATTATTTCTTGTGCTTCGTTTGCTTTGTAAAGCAAGACATAGAAAAAGGCAGGATCCCAGTAGAGCGGAGTGCAATATAATCCATTTTACGCCACAGAAGCTTGAACAGGGGACAGTGTGGAGTCCACACATGAGAAATAATCTATAGATGAAGTAGAGCAAATGGGAGCGTAGCCAAACAGCTCTGCTTGGGAAGAAAATTAACTATTTCACTCTTTTATCCCCCACATCTGTGCCAGGGTGAGTAAATGACTCGTAAAAAGCACAAGTTATGATACGTAAAATTAAGGCAACATATTAAAAAGAGACAAAGAGAAAAATCTGTTCAATTGAGCTAAAGCGAGTCAATCTAGAAATCAGACTTGTCTGCAGTTGTGAGAAAACAATTAGGTACAATTCTGAGTAGAACGTGAAAATGTGCTCCATTAAAGAAGAGCAAGCAGAGCTCGGCGTGAACTGTCAATAATCGCCGTTGTTTTCAGCGCTGGTGGGCCCCCGAGGGAGCAGCTACCATTTGTATTTTCTACCCTGCTCTCTCCTAATTAGCCTTCCTTTTCAGTCTGTTACCTTTTCCCTGCTCCCATTGGCTCCCAAGCATTGTCATGTACTACCACTTACCACCCCGGGTTCACTTTGCCCCCCTCGCTCTAATTATCCTCACACTTTTGATAGTCGGGGCCTGACGCAATTAGCATTGTTTGAACTGCTTAAAGCTGAAGTGATTCCGGCTTGAAATTCCTGCCCTTAAATCCCGACCCACATGTCTGCAAGTGATTTCAGCCTGCTGCGCCTGGTTCAGTTTTAATAATGCTCTGTGTAAGTCTGCACATGCCACACCAGCAAATGGAGAAAAATGGCATCTGTAAAACATTCACTATTATGAATTTAATGTTAGAGTCCTCACATATTTGGGAAAACTTGACAACAGACACTAGCAGAGGTGGCAGGAGGACAAAATTTTGAAGCTAATGGCAGAAATTCGCTGGCGTTTTTCGACCAGAGATTTCATTATAAAACCATGATCCAGCTAATGCCCTGTAGACCGTTGTACGCTGGACTGTTTATCACCTCATTAGAAAACATCGGTGTAGTGAAATCATAAGTGAAGGGCTGTAGGGTCACTCCATCTCCTCCAATAACCACGACAATTACCAAAAACTTTTCAGAAAACCTGTCCGGAATGGTGGATGATAAAACCCAGGAAGGGAAGTGTGCGGCTATACTGTGAAAACTAATGATCGTCCCGCCTGCCATTCCTCACGGAATGAGTGACGGGTTTATCACGGCAGCTACAGAGAACAGACGGAAAGAATGGATCTCGTGGGTTTTCAGATTCCGAGCAGAAAGACCGTCTTTCGGCTAAAACACCCTCACGGACACACACACCATCTGCCTTTTCTAACTTTCTGTCTCCCGCTGTCCACTGACGGCTCTACACATCTATCAGAGCACTAAGGCACGATGGCATGCTGTTGTCAACAGAAGCCTTGCGATTGATTAGGCTTGTGCCTGGATGGCCTCCCCCTCCTCTCGCTGTTATAGATCTCTCTGGTCATGGGCTAACGCTACATCCATTAGGGGGAGTTTCTACTCCGCTGGTGGTTTAAACAACAAATTGCCTCTTCACCAAACTGTACGTAGCCTTGGTCTCATTAATGTCTTGTCAATTTGTAATCACTCTTGTAATGACAAATCACAAAAATGTAACACATACCATGTTTAAGGAAGACTTTTTCAGTCAAATTCATGGGAATATATTTTTAGTGACTTAACGGGATGTTGCTTAAGATCTCAGGATTTAGACGCAGCTATGGGGGAAAACCTTGCGACAACAAAGGTTTCTGGATGTGTGTATTCTTCTGTGTGGATTTCTTTGGTTTAAACAAGTTTTGTGAGATTTTGAAAAGAAGGGAGGATTGTTTGTGTGCACAGTGAGTCGTAGGGAGGCATGGAAATCTTTTCATCTCACGCTCTGTGCTTTGTTTGACTGATCAACTTTGCAGCAGTTGAAGATTGCAGCAGAAGGCCACCAGCTGCAGAGAAAACGGTGTCAAGGAAACTGCAGGATGAAATCCATGATGCAAACCCTGTAGAAATGCGTGTGGTAGACACGCTGCTCTTGTTAAATCGACGCCTCAGTTTAACATTAAATCAGTGAGGCACCTTTATATTTGTTAGGGACAATCTAGACAAATTGCCATGGTAACTACTTTAACTCAGTGATAATAGGCTGAGCCCTGTTCTTGCCCCTGTTGGCGTGAAGCCTTATCATGCATTCTTGTCAGCGAGGAGCGGCACGAAAAGTAGCTTTTCAGATTCCTGCTCCCAACCTGCCTGCTAAGTCGTCTGAGCTCATGAAAGCAAAGCAAGGTTTGGTGCTGCTGCTCAGTGTGTTGCATTCTGGGAGTTTTATTTTTTTTTCCTCCAGCTGACAGCCTATAATTCACTGCCGACAATCCCCTTCATAATACATATTTTGTTTTCTATCAACATCTCTTAAATTGGAAGTGGCACTGGGGCTCAGATGGGTGCATCTGAAACCATTCCACACCGTTTACACTCCGTGGCTTCGACAAAACCCCTGGAGATAAAACGAAAACGTGATGTAGGTTAGGTGTTGAGATATTCCCTGCTTGACAAACACAAGCGGCAGACAATAACACACACACACACACACACACACACACACACACACACACACACACACACACATGTTCAGGCTCATCTTTGCTGGTCTGTGTGAGCTCTAAAGAATGCAGTCGTGACCAATCTGTAACCCTTCAAACGACACATCGTCCAGACTTCAGACGTTGGGAGCAAAAATAACTGGAGGAATGTTTGTTAAAAAAAATGTGGGCCGTTTTTGGAGGGTAGAGGGAATGACGTTGCCTGGCAAAGACAGAGCAAAAGCACTGGTTTGATGCTTGTCATCTTCTATTAAGGTTCTTTTGATTGGCCTTTGTGGTCCTGGAAACGGCAAACAGCTGCATGCAAATGGCCCTGCTTCCCTGAGCACGGCCCCTATTGTTCTGGGGTTCAGTTGGACAGGGACGCTTTCTTTTGCAGCATAAAAGAGGGTGTAGCCTTTAGTAAAATAAGAGAGCCCTCAGCATGGTCACAGCAGGAGTACTTCAGGATTGTTTGTCTTTTTATGTTGTTTCATTCCTCATACTACTGGTAGCTAACATCTATGGAAGAAAGAGGAAATCTTGAGTCAAGTTTTTCTCTAACAGTAGGAGATGCCTCTATAATCCCATATCCGGAGTCATGCAGCAGGTTTTACTCTGTTGAGGGTATTTTATACTTAACATTTGAGCTAAAAATATCCCAAACAAGTGATTTTTACAAATAATTATCAACGCGTGCTTCCTTTAAGAGCTTTCCTGCACTTTTATCAAAATGAAGCTCATATGTTGCTTGTCAGAAAGGGGAAATAATGAGATAAACGGTATAAAACTGCATTTTATGCAAAGATCAACATTCGCTGTAATAGGAAATCTACACATTTACTTCCTAAAGGGTAAAGAACTCAGAGGTGCTCAGAAACGCTGTACCTGACCACGTCTCAATGGGAGGCACACAGCAGAAAGGTGGGAGATTAGAACGGAGATTTGGGATTCACAAAGTAACACCTGCTTTTCAAATACGGACGACGACCCTAGAAGCCTCCAATATGTCTCAGCAGCTCAAATTTCATTTCAACTGTCGAAATGCGGTGAAACACTGAGAATCAAGATGGACACATTGCACCGTTTCTCATGACACTTTAGTCCCTGCACTGGTCCACCCTTGCTGGGAATTGTTTCTAAAGACAGTGTCAGACAAGACCACAAACCCCGGGGCTACACCCGCCTTTCCCAGACTGCTGCTATCAGACACTCTTGATTCCCATATAAGATTTCTAAAATAGAAACTGGCAATATAGAACCGACTGCTCTGTGGTGGGATGAAGCACTCTGAGTCGTATCCTTTTTCTCTTCAATGATACATAAATTCAGCGTTGCAGGTTCAAATTCCAAGTCATAATTTGTACTGCAGCCTTTTCTCTAATTTATCCACTAAATGTTTTCTAGACTTAAAAAACAGCAAGGGATGATAAATAAAAAACTTATTTAGTGTTGACACATATCTCCATGAAAGAGCTTGGATCGAAGGGTTTGTCATGTTGCTGAGGTTAAGCATGACAGAAGCCCGCCGCTGCCTCTTGACTCCTCAGGTGGGCCAATTTAGAGAAAGCTAGATGCTATTGCACCAGAAGGAGGCATTTCATATTTTCTCTGTTGAATAAAACAACACGTATGCACGCTAGCAATGCAGTAAGCCGAAAGCTTGCCAAGCACCAGTTAGTGAGCTTTATTAGCCAAAACACTGAAGACGAGATAAGAGAGGTAGTCAGTTTTAAAGGTAAAACAATGCATGAAAAAGCCAATGAACACATGAAAAAAAGTTTGGAAATTGAAAACAAACAAGGTGTGTCCAAGGCTTTAGTGTTTTTAAATTTTATCATGTATGCAGAAAAAAAAACATTTAGTGGCTTTAAGACTGTTTTCCCATTATCTTGTTATTCCTGTGAGGTT